AATTAGGCTTAAAAATCGCCTCACAAATTAGCCTCCATCTATGTAATTAGTTTTGTAATTAATCTATATTTAATGCTCTTTATTAGTATCTAAATATTCGATGTGATATAGATTTTAGGAGCGACTAAAGAACCAAACGCTCCCTAACCCTGCGAGAGACAAGACTAGCAACAGCAAGGTTAATAATTCGATGGAATTCAGCAAAATAAGACCAGTAAATAGAATGTGCATTATTATTAATCCCACAGAGTTATGTTAACAGGACAGCAAGAACTGAGCGGTGAAAGGTACAAACCCAGTGCTCATGACGTCGGCGTGGACCTTGTACTCCTCCGCATACACGAATGAGGTCACGGCCAGTGGGAGAGCCGCCTGCAATATATTTGCACGCATGTGCAAAATGTGAGTTTTCAGATATGCATGCTGCAACAGCTACTCCTAGCAGTGAAATAAAAAAAAAGTTTTTTAAGTTAAAAGGCTTCCGTGTGCACGCTGTTTCGCTCTGATTTTCGAATTATATTTATCCTATTCCTAGCAGTACTGATTTCCTGGTAGCTGTTCTTCTTCCGTACCCAAATAAACAAGGTAATAAGAATTGGTTATTAATTAGTTTCAGGTCAACCTTATTACATTATTCGTTCAGATGATCACCGAATGTGGACACGATGCTGTACGAGCAAGTACTCCTAGCTAGAGATATATACTTGGAGCTGACTTTGCTTGCCTACCATGGCTCCGTTGCTCTGTCAACCTGGTGACGTAACGGCACCAGGTTTACGCGTCTCTTCGCTATGACCTATGCCTTTCTCTGTCATGCAACGGGAAATCGCGGCTGGGCAAACGTCATTAACTTATATTACTGGACAAAAGTAAGCACGTTTCCGTTTTAAAGATTTTTCCTGTTATGATGCGATACTATCGAAATTTGTTCTTGCTCTTCGCTAGCACTAGAAGTGCCGTGCTTTAAATTTTGATTTTTTTTGTTTGTTTGAACAAAAATAAATACGGTAAGGGGAAAAAAAGGTGTACAGTTCATGTACGTATTGGGCTGTTGGTGGCTCACCTGTACGACAGCAATGTGCAGAAGGGTGCCGTGCACTACTTCATGTACGTATTTGGTATCATAGATATTTTTTTTTATCTATATTTCGTCCTGTTCTGCAGCACTACTTCAGTAATATTTTTTAGCGAACGAACAATATTTTCTTTTCACAATAAATCAGCATAAGCATCAATATAAGCCAAATTTCAACGAAACGAACAACAATACTAAAACGTGACACCGTGCTAGAATTACATTCTTTTTTGACAGAGTGAGTACCTGTTAGCTGTATGTATCAAGATCCGTTCCTGCCATAATTTTTTACAATTTGATCTTTTTTAAAGAAAATTTACGTTTGGCCCCCTGTGAGATTTAAACTCATCTTTGGACCCTGGGGGTCTGTGCCAGGACTCATGCCGCCGAGGTAACACGTCTCGGCAGCACAAATCTTGACACCGAGGTGCCTGGCCAAGATCCTACATGGCGTTGACATGGCCGGTACCTCGGCGCCATAGGTCGGCGCCACCCACGCTAATGACCGGAAGACTGGGCGGCCGCGTTGCCTCGGTTCCCGTGCTCGTCACAAAAACTGGCTGGCCGAGCAGTGCTGGTGCATCTGCCTGCCTTCCTCTGCTCCTCTCTCTCCCATACATCTCCCTGGCAGTCCGTGGCGCGGTCAGGCGCGTGCGATGGCGTGGTCAGTGCTACAGTGGCGTGGGCGACGGAGTGGGCAGCGATGGGACGAGGTAAACTGCTCGCCTGCCTCTATAGCTGGCCATTCGGGCCGCCCGGCCTGGCCCGGTAGGGCACGGCACGGTAGAGCACGATGGGCTGCCGGCCGTGCCGCCCCAGTCCACTGTGCCTAGCTGACGGCCCAGGCATGGCCCGTCAGGCCACTTTCCGTGCCGGGCCGGCCCGGAAAGCACGGCCTTTTTAACAGGCCAGGCCGGCCCGAGGCCCGCATCAGCAGGGGAAGGGAGAGAGGGTAGGCTGGGCGCTGCGGCCAAGGCGACCCGGGAGGAGAGCGCGGCGGAGGCCCTGACAGCGCCGTCGGTGGGGAAGGCGCCGTAGCCGCCGGTGAGGGATGTGGCTGCCGCAACCGCTGCTGTTGGTGGGGAAGGGGCCACCTCCGCCGCTGCTGGTGGGGGGGAGGGGGCGCTGCTGCTGGTGAAGGAAGGGGCCACCGCCTCCAGGGGCCGCCATGTGTGCCGCAAGCGCGCCTGGGGTGGGGATGGAGGAGGTGCCGTGGCCGCCGGGCAAGCAGATCGGGGCCGCCCCACGCCAGCCATGCCTGATGCTTGATGCTGGAGACGGGGAGATGGGGACGGGGAGCAGATGGAGACGGGAAAATGGGGAGATGGAGACGGGGAGTTAGGGTTTGGGGGTGGGAGCGTCCGAGCATGGCTACGCGGGGGGAGCCACCGCAGCCGCGGCATGCGGGTGCGGCTCATATATGAGGCGGGGACGGTGGGCCGGGAGGGGGGAGGCCGGCCAGCTGGGCCTCCAGCTGGGCTGCGGGGACGGTGGGCCGGGAGGGGAGGAGTGGAGTGAGGAGGGGGGGGGTGGCCGGGCCGGCTGACGCAGGCCGGGCCGTGCCGTGCCAGCCCACGGGCCTGAGCCGCGGCTCAGGCACGGCCTGCACCCTCGGGCGGGCCAGCCCGAGCCCGCATGTCATCGGACCATGCCGTGCTCGTGTCGGGCTAAAAAGACAAGCTTCATACCGTATCGTCGTGCCTCAGGCTACAGGCTACGTGGACAAGTATACCTGCCTCTCCCTGTGCGCAAAATGCCCGGTTAAAAAAACGGGAAAGCTATACCTTGCGCAAAATCCGTGGGCGACGGACTGGCCTGTGCGCAGTGGGACTGCATGTGCAAGTGATAGGGGCAGGTGCAGGGGCAGGTGCAAGTGTAGGTCTGACCCGTCACATCAGCCCCTATACACATGCATGCAGATTTAGGGCGTGTTTAGATAAAAAAAAATTTGTGTTTTGAGTACTGTAGCACTTTTGTTTGTATTTGGTAATTAGTGTCTAATTATAGACTAATTATGTTCGAAAGTTTCGTCTCGCGATTTCTCACCTAACTGTGCAATTAGTTTTTTTTTCGTCTATATTTAGTACTTCATGCATATGCCGCAAGATTCGATGTGATGAGTACTGCGTAAAATTTTTTGAAATTTAAACGGGGCCTTATTTGTTTGTACAAGCAGATTACATCTTATGAAGACATATTTTTACTATTTTTACTTAGACGTAAGTTATGTGTTTAATGGGTGTAAATTGACTTTTCGTAAATAAGAATGGTTAAAATTACTCGAATAATTATATGATTATTCTTTTAGCTTTTTTTCTATGTGTTTTATTTGGTTCCTTTTTGAAAATTTTCAATTTGGCTTCCATAGAAATAACCTGGCTAATGTTTTTGTTTTATTTTGTTCTCTTTGAAATCTTTCAATTTGGCTTTCATAAAAATAATCTAAGTATTTTTTATTTTATATGTTCTTTTTGCATTAATTTTGATCATTTTATCTAAATCCTGTGGTTATGAGAATAAAGTGTTTTAGGGACTCAAATCACTCGATTCTGCCATCATTCCAATTTTCCAGCCAATCGAGTGTTTCTCACCCATCTAACACTCGAGCGCCAGGACCTTCTAAATCGCTCGAGCACAAAGGCTGCGTTCGCTGGTCTGGTTTACCAGACCAGCCTGCTCCTCCTCACAAGTTTTAGCCTGTTTCAGCTGCTATAATGTTTCTCTCTTACAACAACTAGCCAGTTTCAGCCAAATTTCAGACCAGCGAACATGGTCAAAGTAGACACGCCCGAGTTAGTACTCTTTTCTCACCCATCTAACACTCGAGCGCCAGGACCTTCCAAACAGCTGAAAGCCAGCCCGTCGCAGACTCACAGTGCGAGGACGGCTTACCCACGAACCCGGCCACGCGTCCCGAGGGAGGGGGGGCGCATGCAGCAGCCGCACGCCACAATCCGCAGCCCACCTGTCTCCCGCAGCCATCCCGTCGCGCAGGTGCGTGCACAGGTTGGCGCCAAGATCTGCGGCGTCGAGGTACCGGCCACGTCAACGTCACCTAGGATTCCCTGCAGTGCACGGCCAGGTACCTTGGCGTTAAGATCTGTGGCGCCGAGACGTGTTACCTCGGCGCCAGGACTCATGGCGCCGACCCCCAAAGTCCAAAGATAAGTTTAAGTCTTCCAGAGGGCCAAACAAAAATTTTGTTCGAAAAAGGGTCAAATAGTAAAATTAAAATTAGGGCCTCCGTACACCCCAGTTGAGCTTGCACAGTTTTTTGGCTGCCGTGTGTATGTGTTTGCCAACAATTTATTCCTTCAATTTCAAGAGGAGCAAAATTTAGTTTCGCCCAACAACTCGATTTTATTATTAGGGAAAATTTTTAGTACAAACCTTCTACTCGGCGTAATTATAAAAACCGCTTAGAAAAACATACACATGAGTTTTTTAAAAAAAATTGAGACTATGCACATCCACAACGCATCTATGGATATACATTTTTCTCAAAATTTGAGATTCGAAATCCATCTAGAACAATCATATAAAAACAACATATTTCAGGTGCATACACTAGAAGTTTTTTTTTTTTGGAACATAAGCTCTGCAACACGTAGGATCTGTTCCTGTTGCATGCCTGCTATACATTAATCGAGATGTTTTGGAACATGTATAAGGTACCATTCCTAAATAGAACACATGTAATTAATTAAGCTAATAGCAAGCTACCGTCTACCGCTAGCTAGCAGACGGTGATCGATCTTATTGATTTTTGGTAGCATCGTCAGGAGCATATTTATTCCCTTGCACCGTTGCGCTTCCATCTGAGCTGTGTAGCCAGTAGCCACCAATATAATTCATGTGCCCGGCCGCTTCAGATTTTGCACATGCGATCGGTCCCATTTCTTAATCGAATCAATCCATCACAAATTCAAAGGCCCAACAGTATGTAGTACACAATTGTGACGGGCAGCGAGATAAATATCCCGAGAATAACCCTGAAAGAGACCAGACCAAAACAAGGTTTATAATTCATGCATCAGTCAGAGATGGAATTAATTCAGCAAAACGAGTTTATAAACTGCATTATTAAACCCACAGAATAATTAACAGGACAGTAAGAAGAAGCGAGTGGTGAAAGGTACAAACCCAGTGCTCATGATGTCGGCGTGGACCTTGTACTCCTCCGCATACACGAATGAGGTCACGGCCAGTGGGAGAGCCGCCTGCAATATATTTGCACGTACGCATGTGCAAAATATGAGTTTTCAGACATGCATGCATGCTGCTACTGCTACTCCTAGCAGTGAAATAAAAAAAGGCTTTTTAAGTTAAGTTAAAAGACTTCTTCGCTCTCTGATTTTCGAATTATATTATCCTATTCCTACTAGTTTGATTTCCTGGTAGCTGTTCTTCTTCCGTACCCAAATAAACAAGCGTATTAAGAATTGGTTATTAATTAGTTTCAGGTCAACCTTACATTATTCGTTCAGATGATCATCGAATGTGGACACACGATGTTGTACGAGCAAGTACTCCTAGCTAGAGATATATACTTGGAGCTGACTTTGCTTGCCTACCATGGCTTCGTTGCTCTGTCACATCTACTAAACCTGGTGACGTAACGGCACCAGGTTTACGCGTCTCTTCGCTATGACCTATGCCTTTCTCTGTCGTGCAACGGGAAATCGCGGCTGGGCAAACGTCATCAACTTATATTACTGGACACAAGTAAGCACGTTTCCGTTTTAAAGATTTTTCCTGTTATGATGCGATACTATCGAAATTTGTTTTTGCTCTTCGTCTGTGCATTAATTTTTGTTTGTTTCAACAAAAATAAATACGGTAAGGGAAAAAAGAAGGTGTACAGTTCCTGTACGTATTGGTTTTTTTTTTGTGGCTCACCTGTACGACAGCAATGTGCAGAAGGGTGCCGTGCATTCCTACGGCCAGCGAGGCGAGCAGCATGATGACCGGGCCAATCAGGAACTTGAGGAGCATGGAGAGCGAGGCGATGGTGTACCCGCATGGCACGAACCGCGACTGCCGCGCGATGAACGTCCCTGAAAATGACCCGTAGTGATATAGGTTGGCATAAGTCTAAGCAAATCGAAATTAATGTGAACTCCCTAAGTTCCAACATAAGCTAGTGATATTTTTTTTACTTTTAGACTTCTTGTTTGACCGTTCGTCTTATTTAATTTAAGATAAACGGTCAAAACCGAAGTCTAAAAGTGAAAAACGTCATTTATTTTGGTACGGAAAGAGTGAGTATAAAAAAATCCAAAAATTAATTGTTGTTTAATTAAATCATGACCAGATTTAGTTTTTAGTGAGATTGGGACCTGAAGCGAACATGCTCAGCCCAACTGCGGTTGTGTAGATGATGAACAGAGAGTCGCCAACAATTTTTGGCATCGAGAATCCAATCCTGTAGAGGAAACAGATTAGGGCAATCATTAGTGAGCACGATTGAGAAATTTAGATATACAGTAAAAAAAATGAAATGGCAATAAGATACTAAAAATATGATATGGTACTAGCTAGATTGAAGTGGCCGGAGACGCACTTGAAGGCCATGAGAGACCAGATGAGGCCAAGGAAGCTGGCATAGGTATTCGGAATCTGGAGAAGCTTCTTCGTGGCCATCCACACGACGTGCATCACCGACGGCACCTGCGGCTGGACCGGCGTTGGCGGCGGGAGATCCACGGCCACCTTGTTAGCATCTCCATCGTCCTCTGCGCCCAGCTCCTTCGCGGCCGCCGCGCCGTCGACTGGTGCCGTGGTCGTCGACGCAACCGCCGCCGCCGCCGCCACCTCCGTGATCTCAATGTTGACGACCACCTGGTGATGGCTACTACGGTCGGCGGCATGACGATGAATACTGCTTCCGCCGCTTTCGTCGACCATACTACGGTCGTGATTCTCGTCCGCCGTTTCCGCCGGAACGGCGGGGCTGATCTTGGCGGTGCCGTCCCGCGCCGCCATGAACTCGTAGAGGAAGATGACGACGTTGTACCAGATGCAGAACTGCATGACGACGATCTGCTTCATGAGCCCGCCCGACACGGACCCGTACATGCCGTCCAGGAGCGGCACGCCCATGATGATGGTGTTGGGCAGCGACGCCACCGAGAAGTTGGTCACCACCCACTTGATCGGCGACGACGAGGAAGACGCTTCCTGCTTCCCGCCGTCGCGGCGGCGCCGGGCGGCGCGGAAGTGGGACCAGAAGGCCCAGGCCGTGAGCGCCAGCAGCATGACGGCCTTCTGCAGCGTGTCGGCGGCGATGAGGCGCTGGTTCATGTGGTAGGGGTCGTTGGTGGAGACCATGTGGAAGATGAGCACGGGGACGGCGTAGAGCGCCACGAAGTGGTTGATCCCCGCGCACTGCTCGTCGGAGAAGGCCTTGAGCCACCGCACCGACGCGTAGCCCAGCACCGCCGCCGTGTACAGCGGCGCCATGGCCTCCACGACGTGGTACACCGCGGATCCCGGGATCATGGTTGCCGCCCTTCAAACCAGCTGCAAACAATCTAGCTATCGACAGCCAAGGAACCTCACTAAACCCTCGTCGATATATATAGCTAGACTAGACAGAACGAAGCAGTAGTGCTTGCTCTTGCTCTCTCGATCTTGTGACTGATCGATCGATGCAAAGTGTGTTGTGGTATGTAGTGCGGGATGCTAGGTTTTGGCTTGGACGTGTATATATAGTGGACGATTGGCAAGTGTGTCCGGGCTGAGTTGACGCGGAATTCGATCGGTGGTGCTTGACGGACGACTCTGCAACTGCAATCTGCATATGGTGCTTGCGACGGACGCAGGTTCGCCGATGGTTTTGGATCGCGGAAAAGGACGTCAGAAAACCAGCAAGTAAAAAGTCAGCTAGCATTCAGCAGAAGTATTAGTGGTTTTTCGTCTTTGCTGTTTCTAGAGCTTTTTTTCGTTTTCTGCTTTTGTTCCTAGGTTTTTCAAGATGTTGCCCTTGAGGGCACCTAGTTGGGTCGCCGGCCAGTGCGCCGTGGTGGCGGTGAGTTTGTGCTCCCATTGTGCTTTGTAAACTGTTTTTCTCTTTTTCTTCGTTTAATAAAAATCCTGCAAATCTCTTTCCGTCTTTCAAAAAAAACAACCAGCTAGCTGCAATTACAAATGCATCCATGCGCGCGCACTGGGCCGGACTAGCTAGCTAGTTAATGGAAATTAGCTGGGTGCTGACGCCACTAGCAACTCAACAAAAGTGAGTTGTGTGTGCTCCAGCTGGGTACAGGCGTACAGCGCTGTCCTACTTCAGTAGGAGTAAGTGCGATCACTTCGTACATTTTAACTGGTGATCCAATTTTTGGACGAAATTTTAACTGCTAAATTGAATGTCTAGGTCGATTTGATTCGCAGGGTCCGAGGCTGACCAATGATCCAACCAGGCACATGCAGCAGCATGCTGCGTGTTGAATCACATGCATGAGAATGCGAACATCGCAGAAACAGTAGGCGAACACCTATATCAACGGTTTCAATTCGCTAGTTTCCATCTCTGTGGTGTGGCCAGGTGTGTTTTTATTCGTTTGTTCGCGACAGTCAGAAATTAGACGTCAATCAGCTTGATCGTTTGTTGGTTTCAGTCAGGGTTTATCAGCCATGATATAGTGTTTTTCTCTCACAACAAACCAGCATCAGCCGAGCTTACAGGCTGAATAGCTGCTAGCGGTCAACCCCACCACGCCATGCGTGTTGGTTAGATTAATTGGTACTACCTCATGCTCTCTCCTTAGCAAAATAAATGTTGCTATCTTTCGGTAAAGTCAAACGCCTTTAATTTTGATCAAATATATAAAAGAAAATATTAATGTTTATGGTAGTGTCTAGTTATCTATCAACGTATTTTATATGACCAAACGAACAGGACATAGATACGTCAATCATAACCCTAACCATTCGCCTTCCTATGCTATCTTGTTTGGCGATGCGTCCATTATCTTGTTACCCCACACACTAAATATTGCATCCATTGTCACATCGGCCTTCCCTCGTTGTCGTTGCCCAACCTTCAAATCTAACCGCCAATTCTCGAATATCTAACCCTAAAACTCGCATCATGACTTTAACTTCCTTAGAAACAACGGTTTGATTTTTTATCTGTTTGTCATCCGCTACTACTCCATTCGTCTCCAAATAATCAATTCATAGATTTCGACTCTATAGAAAAGAATAATAACATCTACGACATAAAATAAGCACCCTATGAAAATATATTATATGGTAAATCTAATGATACAAATTTGATTCCATAAGTCTTAACATTTTTTTAAGAAATTCAGTCAAAGTTTAAAAAGTTTGACTTAAGACAACTCTAGCAATCTATTTATTCAGGGACAGAGAGAGTATATATTTTAGAAGATAAGAGTTTGCTGTGTTATATTTTTAGATTAGTATACGAGATAATAAACCAGACGAACATTAAAGAAGAGGGCTTGTCAAGGGCAAACGACGCTACTGTTCATTCCCTACAAACAGGAGTCCTGTACTGTTACACTTACAGGAGCGAACAAAGCCGGTACGTACGGTACGTCACCTACCAAAAAAATGCGTTGTCCAAATTTTTTCCCACAAAACCCTACACGTTTTACTGTGTCCGAGGCTCCCGGCCATTGCGAGTGCATCGCCGTTCCAAAAGTTAAAGCAAAAGCAAGCGCCTAGAACATCAATCGGTCCCGTTCGCTTCGCTGAAAAAATAAATCGAAATACTGTTCCTGCTGATTTATTGTGAGAGAAAAAAACTATTTTAACTAAAAAAATAAGCTGAAAAAGATAAATTATAAGAGAAGCGAACATGGCTCTGTGTACTCCAGTTTGTAATCATTCTTGCGTGACCAGAAGTATCGGCTTCCTATAACGATTCTGCCGAATGGGTCTTGCATGCCCCCCGTGAATTTTGTCACGAAACTTCCCCGGCCCACTACTACTACTACTACCCTACTTCGTCGATCGACCAACCGTTGCTGCTAATAGTGGCATGCCAGTACTAAATGAGTTGCAATAAACATAGAATCGTGCATATGCAGGTGCGGCTGGGTGCGTGCGACGGGTCCAGTCCGTCGGCCGTAGTACGGGTACGTCGCGAACAAGCCGCCAGATGCATGCCGAGAAGTGACCACGATCGTGCCGCGCCTTTTACGGTCTGCCACTGCCAGGACCATTTTGAGCTCAAAAATAGGGAGTGCCAAAGAAATAAACATCACCCGGTTCACAGCATCTGCCTCTTCACCTTTGCTTTGTGAATGGAGCACCCCAAACAGGAAAAAAGCTTTGCAAAAAAAAAACAAAATTCTTTTGGGCATCTCGCTGCGGGTACTTCATCATCATCATTATTCCAAGTACGCAAAACTGCAAAAAATTACAAGAGAACGCTTTGACTTTCGACGGAACTCACGCTTTGACTTTCGACGGAACTCTGCCTCTTCTCGTCAAAGCGAACCATGGCATGTCAGGTGCGGAGCCTTGAACGGAGCTGATGGATTCATACTCGAGAGAAAGAGTCGGCGACCATACGGAACCCTTGGGTTTGGAACTGACGATCGGGTTTGAGTGGAATCTACTACTGATACCATCACGCTAAAATTCTTTGCTTGAACGGGCCTCGTTAAGCGTGCTCTTAGAATTTTTTTTGGATCATGAATGGGCAGTTGGCAGCAGTTAGGCAGGGCCAAGCAAATTTAATTTTTTTCGGGTTCCTTCTGGGCCACTTATCTTTTATGGGCCTCAGGCTTCAAATTTTTAAAAAATTAAAGCCTTTGCAGAGAAATCGAAGGCAGACGAAAACCACGATGCTTTTCCGAGGGTGCACGCAAGATCTCGATTTGCAAAGTTTTTTCCCGTATCTCGTCTCGTCTTGGTCTCTCTCTCCCGCCGCCCGCAGCGTCGTCCCGTTCCGCCGTGGTCATGGTCTGTTAATACGGCGCAAGGTAGTACAATTGTTCAAACCGTCCGGCAAGCTGGCAGCGGCGTTCGATTATTGCGGCCTGAACGCAACAAACAACGCGGATCTTGTGAGCTGGGTCCGTGCAACTGCAAGCGCCATCCCGAGCTACGCGGACCGAAATTAAAGTAAATATGATGATTTTTCTAAGATATATTAATCATATTAAATTATTTTTTGTAGGATTAAATAAAAATAAATTTTATATGAAAATTATGAATCTAATGAGATCTTTTCTAGTTTTAAGTTTTTCATTTGAAGTCGTTAAGATGCTTAAAAAAAATTAATAACATATTTGAACTTAATGACATTTTCGAAATTTTGGACATGTCTACATGCTTGCGGCATTAGAAACGTTAGATTTCAATTCGACGGAAGTGGCATGGAGGACCCAAAAAAAGTTGGTATCATGAAACTTTTTGAAGACATATGAATTTTTATAGAAGGCAATTATGGAGATTTCGATCTTTTATAATGGTACACAGGGAAAAGTCTCCAAGTAAAAAAGCCAGCTAGCATTCAGCAGGAGTATTAGTGGTTTTTCGCCTTCGCTGTTTCTTGAGCTATTTTTCGTTTTCTGCTTTTGTTCCTAGGTTTTTCAAGATGTTGCCCTTGAGGGCACCTAGTTGGGTCGCCGGCCAGTGCGCCGTGGTAGTGGTGAGCTTGTGCTCCCGTTGTGCTTTGTAAACTGTTTTTCTCTTTTCCTTCGTCTAATAAAAATCCGATAAATCTCTTGCCGTCTTTCAAAAAAAAAAAAGCCAGCTAGCTGCAATTACAAATGCATCCATGCGCGCGCACTGGGCCGGACTAGCTAGCTAGTTAATGGAAATTAGCTGGGTGCTGACGCCACTAGCAACTCAACAAAGTGAGTTGTGTGTGCTCCAGCTGGGTACAGGCGTACAGCGCTGTCCTACTTCAGTAGGAGTAAGTTCGATCACTTCGTACATTTTAACTGGTGATCCAATTTTTGGACGAAATTTTAACTGCTAAATTGAATGTCTAGGTCGATTTGATTCGCAGGGTCCGAGGCTGACCAATGATCCAACCAGGCACATGCAGCAGCATGATGCGTGTTGAATCACATGCATGAGAATGCGAATATCGCAGAAACAGTAGGCGAACACCTATATCAACGGTTTCAATTCCTAGTTTCCATCTCTGTGGTGTGGCTTCCTTGTGTGTTTTATTCGTTTCTTCGCAGACAGTCAGAAATTAGACGTCGTGAGATGCGATGCCGCCTCAACCCCACCCCGCCCCATGCCTGTTGTTGCATTAAGTGGTACTACCATCCCCACACTCGCTTCGCAAAATAAACGTTGAACTCTTTCCGGAAGGTCAAACGCGCTTTGTTTTGCTTCAACTATATATGAACTATTAATCCGATTAGTATTTGTTTTGCTTCGACTGTGATGAAGTATGGACGGATTGGTTGCTAATCCACACCTACTTTCCGAGATCCTAAAAGCACGTTGAAGCATATTGGGAATGATCAAATATGAATGGATTCAGATCAACATTATAGGCTGTC